ATATGAAGAAACATTGTATAACAATGCGGTATAGCGAGACGCCTGTTTGGAAACATGAAGAAGAAACATTGTTCCGCTCTACATATACATGGAGGCTGACCATTGTATCATACTAAAATCATATTACTGGGCAGATCTGAACGTGAGTGCTAACTGAATAAACTGGCCAGCCGTCAAATCAATTGATATTAAAGATGTTTCCTATACAATATTGTTTTCAAGTCTGTACGTTCCTTTTTATACAAAGTTTCTTCATACAACTTATCTTCATACAACCTTTCTTTATACAACATGTCTTCATATGACGTTTCTTTATACATTGTGTAATATGACGTTTCATTATAAATTGTGTAATATGACATTTCATTATACGTTTCTTTATATGTTTCTTTATACGTTTCTTTATACAACATTTCTTCAAAAGATGTTTCTTCATATGACATTTCTTTATACGTTTCTTCATATGATTTTTTTTGTACAGCGTTTCTTTAAACAACGTTTCTTCATACGACGGTCCTTTATACAACGTTTCTTTATACAACTGTTCTTTAAACAACGTTTCTTTACATGAGTTTCATATAAATTTTCTTTAGCCTGAACAGACCCTAAGACTAGAGTCCCAGCCAGAGAGTATCCTCAAGGGAGAAAAGCAAAGATTTGGCTAAATTTAGCCGCTTTTGATCTGGTTTAATCCCCTAGGGAAGGGGATCTCTGTCGGTAGCAACGAGAATATTGCTGAAGAAGCCTCGATTCTCTGCATCACATCTGTGCCCCGATGGAACACAAGGATCTGCAACAACTACTTGGCTTCTTGTCTTTTTGTTAAAGGCGCAAATCAGAAAAAATAGCTTGGGCTTAAAAATATAGTCATAAATCAGTTTAGAAAATGAATTAGAATCAATAAATGAATAAATAATGAATGAAAGAAGGGATATATGAATGATTGAACTTAAAAATAAACTAACAAATTGATAAATAAAAAAAATACACCATTAATGAGAGGTAAATTTGGCAATACATCATTTCATATTGAAAACAATAACATAAAACACCTCTAGTTCAAAGTGCAGTTTGAAAGGAACTTTAAGCCTAATAAAATTGAAATTTATTAATTTGATTGAACTCACTGTAATAATCCTTGCAATGTTAGGATGGACTTCATGACAATAAAGTAACACAACAGTCTGGAGCAAGGCTAGTAACCAAGACATAGCAAGATGGATGATGAAAGCTTCAGAGTCTGTTTGATATTCCTCAAAGTAACCAATCCATGACTTTAAGGTCATCCATGATGAAGATTGAAAAGTGCAACTATTCCGTGACAAAACCAGCGAAAATTTCCCAAATGAAACTGAAACAGTTTTTGTTGTACAGAATGCAAGTCTTAATTTTGAAAAGGCAGTGTCCTTGGAATGCTATAATTCACCAAAACAAAATAGTTTGTGTCCTCAGAAAAGAGTCCTGTTTTCAGTTCAATGATGCAAATATTCCACACAAAAAAAACAGGTTTCCTGCAACAACTTCCCAATGAAAGTGAAACAATTTTGCAATAAGTTTGTTTAGGTTTCCGGTCTAAATTTTGGAAAGGCAGGGTCCTTGCACTTCTATAACTCACCAAAACAAAGTTTGTGTCCTCAAAAAAGGAGTCCTGTTTTCAGTTTAGATGCACTATTTATCATAATATATTATAACTGAAAGATTTGGGCAAAAATGAAGTTTTGTAACTCCTAAGCTTCCGAGACAGCCTTATAGAATGTAGATCACAAGGGCGTTTGAAGATTGATAAAACAGGAACAAAAAACTCCAATTAGTATCTCCGAAGACAAGTTCAATATGCAAAAATTCCACTATAAAGACACTGAAAGAAATGAGAAAATGAAGTGTTGTTGGTTGGAATGCATCTTCGGCGCAAGAGTTTTTGAATGCAGCGTACATTTGTGACAGCGATTGATGAATGCACGATATGATCGCTTCACACTGCGACGAGTACGGAGATTGTAGAAAGAGATTATGTGTGAAAGGTTGGCTTTAAAACAATGGAAGAAAAGTTAGGAAAGAAATGAAAGGGATTTAGGTTGGCCTGATTAACCATTGTGTGGGTGTGTGAATCATGCGCAACCTGGACGATCATTGTTGGATTGTGATTCTAAAATGCCCTCTCAGTCCCCCTTCGCTACCTTGATCAGAAGATTGATGAATGATTCTTTGTCTGATACGCCCCCCCTTATTCTATGCATGTCCATGCCCCCCTCCCCCCCCCCCAACCTCTGTTTATCAAATTGTGTGGACGTGCACGTACAATGTAAATTTCAACTCATGCACTAATTGCTGGATCATAATTCTAAAATGCCCCCTCAATTCCTTGTTGCTACCTTGAATCAGAATATTATATAAACAAGTCGTATGTATGATTCTTTGTCAATGATGTTGCCCCACCCCTTAATTTCTGACAGTCCAGGCAACCCCCCCCCCCCCCAACACTGTTCATCCAATCACAGGTACATGTAGGCCTACATAATTATTAGACCATAATTCTAAAATGCCCCCCTCAATCAGCTTGATCAGAAGATTAAACATACCACCCCCCTCCCCACAACTTTCGTCGTCTGATAGTATACCCCTCCCCCCTCCCCCCCCCCCTACACCCGCAACTTCCCCGATAGGCCAACATGTACACTGTACATCACAACCTGTGCAAAAATAATTCTTGGATCATATTCTGAAATGCCCTCTGGGACCCCCTTCGCTACCTTGACCAGTAGAGATTAAAAGTACATACAGTTGTACATGTACTTTATATACAATGTACTATATACTTCTTTGTGGTTGATGTTGCCCCGCCCCGCCCCCTCCCTTCCCCCTTCATTTTAATTGATTTGTGTCTGTCCATAGTACTACAGTACTATCTTAAAAATAAGAATATAATAAAATTCAGGTCGTTCTACTTTTCAGTGAGACCATCTGTTCCCTGTGAATACTACATGTATCCCATTGACCTAATTGAGAAACAAGTGTTACACAGAATTAGGACAATTATAATAGAGATCTAGAACGGCCTAGTGCATGCATGAAATGTGCTAATATTTGCATTATGATGGTTGAATGGTTGGCTCCTGGAGAGGGAATAAAGACCCATATAAAGAATAAATTTGTGTATCATTTGTCATAATTTATACTCAAAAAAGTGCGCTTAGAAGAGTAAATAACATGTATTTGTGTGAAGTGAGCTTTAAAACACTGACGATTGCAAAAGTAATTTTTTGTTGGTAGCTATAATTGTAAATTTATTTTTAAAAATAATTGACCAATTGAATAAAACAATCTTTTTTTATAGGGAATGATATGTTTTTCATTCATTTTTTTCTTCCAATCATTTCCTTCTCTCTGTGTTATTGAGACTTAATTGTATACATGTATTTCATTCATGTTTCTATAATTTTTTGTCCCTGTATGTGTGCTTTTGTTTATATTCATTTGTGTGTTTGCTTTGTTTGTAATGTTCTGTTTTGGTAATTTGTTATTCTCCCTCTAAGTTTTAGCGGAAGGTTATTTTCCTATTACACATACCCATCATGCTGCTGCTACTATCACTGTTAATGCTACATGTATCTTGTCTCTAAAATGTCAAACAGTACATCTACATCTAGAATTCTAGATGTGTTGTGGGTTACACACTTGTACTGTGTTCCTCAAACACTGATTCAATTGACAAGAAACCATTCATTTGGTACGATGACAATGTTAAGTTTATGGGCAACATTGCTAGCTCAAACACCCATTCATTTGACAAGGAACATTATATTTGGTACGGTGACAGACAATGTTATCAAAGTTATGGGCTACATTGCTAGCTCACACACCCATTCATTTGACAAAAACATTTTACTGGGTACAGTGACAACGTTAATGAATGCCATTAATTAAAGTAACCTTTTCTTTCATCTACTATTTCCTGGTTGCATTCTTTCCCTCTGTCACAATGCAAGCCATTCAGGCTACATGTACTTCAGTTGTAATGGATCTACAGTATATTTGGTTTTTAGCCTTTGAAAGCTTTTAGTTTCTCTCTCCAACCTCTAACCACTCAAGTCTCACAAGGTCTGTCTCCATCAGCTTGAGTTTGCCAGATAACCCGCTATTTTCAGACTCAGGATATTATCTTGAAGCTTGAAATTGCGTCCTCACCAGAGCGATACGCTCATCACAAACTAGCTCGGACAGGCGCGAATTAGCCCGCTATTTCCCAAATAGCGGGATATTTTAGAAACAAGACCAAGATTTCTCAGGATATTTCTTGACCAAATATCCCGCTAATTGCAACTGCGGGCTGATGAACACGCAAATTAACTGGCTAATTTGCGACAGGGATAGTTAAAATAGCGCATTATTTGGCAAACTTGGGCTGATGAAAACAGGCCTACATGTATTAACTCCCTGCAAAGTACAGTTTAGTATTGCAAGTTCAGATTGCTGTTCAAAGCTTACTAAATTATTTTGATCTCTAAAAATGTCACCACGAGAGTGTTTTCCCTCAATAGTTTTGTAACGTTTTACAATATTATATTACTTTATTTTTAACAATATGCATCTAAACAGCATTTCACACTTCAGATTTCTTTTCTTATGTATGCAGCAAGCTAAACTTTGCAATCTCCAAAGTCTTGAGACAATACCTGGTGAACGATTAACTCATTATTTCAAACTAATCAAATGCAGCGTAATTTCAGATTGTCAGTAGCTTAATAATTCAATCATCCTTCCAATACAAGAAAGCCCTTACTTATTTAAACCACACATACATGTAATTTCAATACCTGTAGGTACAGGAATTATCCCTGATTTGATTTCTTGAACTCTGTGAAAAAAGCGTTTGCTACATCAAAAATATAAATAAAAATATTATTAAAAAATAGATCACAGAAGAGTATCACTGTTGCCAATTTGATAAACACAACGTCCACAGTGACTCGTGCAATCACAGATTGTAACAAAGTTCTTACCTGTAGTTTAGCGAGGGGTATGATGTCACAGTTGGTCGGCCGATGCCAGACCGTCTTCTGTAGCATCTCATTGTAGTAGTAGAAACGGGACGTCTTTGGATCAAACAGCTCCCACCACTGGTTGTTATCTCTCTTTTTCCTGTAAATAGAAAGAGGAAATGAGAATTTGTAAGACATCTTCTATAGATTGGATGTCTTTGAAAGATTTGAAATAAGAAATAAATATTCCTTGAAATCGACCGTGTACTGGTGAGACATTTTATAACATGTCGCTTCTGGGCTTTGTTCGTATCCCTTTTTGTTGTTCTTGTTTTAACTGACAAGCATCCTCCTACTCTTTCTACTCCCCCCCCCCCCCCCCGAAAGAAATTCTCTCTCTCTCAGTCTCTCTCTCTCAGTCTCTCTCTCTCTCTCCCTCTCTCCCTCCCTCCCTCTCTCCCACCCTCTCTTTCGGTTTGCATTCCGTCCCATTCCTCCATTTCGTTTCAAACCTCTCTCCTCTACTTCTAGATTTACATTCACTGCAAAAATACCATACTATACTCGAGTTACAATTCTACACCATTTCTACAATGTCACGGCCCACATAACATTGTCCTAATTTGGAATTACACTTCCATCCCCAGGTCAATGTCTACACCATTACAAACTTATCCTTGGTGATTGCCAAACTCTTTTAGGGGGCCTGCACCATGTTTAATTTCCATCACCTAGCAATTTAGCTAGGTAGAGATCAGAGACTTGTATTGTTGTTGACAAGCAGGGTAACATACATGCCGAGAATCCAAAGAATTCGCTGTTTCGAAGGCCTGGTACTCTCACCATGGTCTATATAGCCTGACTTCTAGAATTAAAGATGAAGTTGAGTTCTGGTCATGTGATTGCATTGTGAAAGAAACGGTGTGGAATCAACCAGAAAAGGTTCATCATCTATAAGAATTTGTGTGTATTGCAAGGTTCTGGAATCATCAAAATGATAAGAAATTGGCCAAGTCTTGGTAAAGTTACAAATACTGTACACAGAAAGATGTACTGTACATGTATATGGGAATACACAAACACGTGGCGTAAAGATCCTACCCCCGAGTTTTACGATGTTACATGAAATATTTAGAATATGAAGGCATTTGAAGAGCCATGCTTTTCAGGGAACATGTCTTATCTGATGTTCTTCCACACTTGCATAATAAGAATGATAACGCTCACAAATTATTTTTCACCTCTTCCCAGAACTCAACCTTCTCTTTAAAGGGACTGCTTACCATTTTCAAATTTGTGTATCAATTTTCCACAGAATTTACATGAACACGAAAAAGATATAAGTTTTTGATTGAATTGAGTACATGTATGATGAAAGAGGTTAACGTAGATTTCAAATAGAGTATACAATTGTCCATTTGTTCACGATGAACTTGTACTTTCGGTGCACAGCTAGACTCCACAGGGTGCATCATATATAATGTGAACATGCCCTCTTTGTTGCCACAGCTCCAATGAGTCTGCTCCAAAGTTTGGAGTACAATATGAACACAGGCTTGACACGGCTTTGACCTTTGAAAGATTTGACTCTGCACTGTAGGGTAAGCACAGCCAAGCAAATATCAGCCTTGAGTCCTTGACACAGCTACTCAAACACAACTGATTAGCACATAAGTGTGAACACACCCTATACCCCAGCCAGCCTCAATCTTCTCTTGAAAAGAGTGTGATGCAAGCAGTGTAAAAAATACTTTTCTGTTCGATCGCAGAGGCTCTTTTAGGAAATATTGTAACACTAAAAGTATAATTTCTCACAGGGATATTTATGTATTTCATTATTTTTGACAGAGTTAGACCCCGTTTACAGTGAGCAAAAGGCTGGGCCGGGCCGCGGCTCGGCCTAGCACTGTAAACACGCAAAAGGCCAAATGCGAGGCCAAACTGGCCGCGCATTTGGCCCTGCTCTGGAGGTAATCTCGGCCCAGCCTATTCTCACTGTAAACGCACGCAGGGCCAAATGCGCGCCCAACTGTAACCCCGGAAGTGAAAGTTCGCCGTGTATAGGAAATTGGGGAAAAGATTCACTGCTCATCGCGTGCGACCGGATCTGCACTGTGACCCCAGGCGCGCGCCCCACAAATAATCGTTTGTTTACATGCAGAGCGCCACTCTGACAAAATATTGAAAGGTTGCAATTTAGGCCGCGGCCGAGCCTGCCACTGTAAACGCACAAAATTGCGGGGCCGAGTGGCCCTTTTCTCACTGTAAATGGGGTCTTAGTTTAACAGAGCTCTTTTCAATAGAAAAAACTTTCTGAGCTATTGGCAAATTAAATAACTCGATCACCGCTCCCATGTATTTGTTGGGGGCTGATGCAAAGGTGTGAAGGTGATGCACGGCACAGTGTGAACATGGTTTAGTCAGTCTACCATGCCCCTGGTAAACTTCACCCTTGACCCTCTGTAACATGCTGCAGTCTAGAGTTTCAAGCAACAAGGTTGAATTAGGTTCCATTACAAGAAAACTCTAAGATCAAATACAGGATCAATGTATGTACTAAACAGTACAACAGCTTAATATGCAGTAACCAATCTGAATGTAGGCTGTCTAAATAGCCATGTCTGTGATCGGTCCAGGTTTGTTCTTTCTTTCTTTCTTTAGAACGACAGCTACAACTTGACGAGACTTGTTCGGACGTAGCTCTCTTTCCTACAATCTACATGTAGGGCTTATACATCAAAGGTGTGTTGTCCAATTCCCCTGCCTTACAAAGAGTTATACAGTAATTGATCCAAATCAATCGCAAGTTTGCAATCTCCTATCTCTAATATGTACATTGTTGTGATTGATATCAATCACAAATAAGTTACAATTAATATAAATTGTTTGTATAATGACAAAGATGTACAATATGTGTTAAAGCAGTTGTCCTAAAATCAAATAAGACACATTGTCTTGGCATCATATATTTCATCTACAGTGTAGGATACATTTTGTTGGTAAAAGTATCATGAAGCATTCAACGTTACATATGCCCATGCTAAATTCAAATTTACAGAAACTCATTTTCCAGCCTGATTTGCAATGAGAATTATTTAAATGATATGAAAGCAAAATGTCAGGTCCTGCAAGTGTAGTGCCAGGACCCTTTCAAAGGATAGGGATGGACTTTACAGCGATAATTCATCCATATTGCAGAGAAAAGGGAGGTTTTAGGGTATGGGAGGGGTGGATCGTAATTCCATGGTCATTTCTAGCAAGGTCATCATTGGACAGTTATTATAAGTGGTATTTAATAGCTTTCAGAAGGACTGGACCTTCCAAACATAGTGGAAATTCTTTGCCAAGAAATTTCAGATACCAGCAGCCTTTTCACACACAGCTAAAATTCTATAAACATGACTAGTATAAACGTGTTTCGAACGTGTTTAAACTAATCACGAGCCTTTCACACACAGAAATTTTGTTGCGATCGTTAATACTGCTCGTAAAATGCGCAGTAGTGCCATTGCGCATTGAAGGTCATGTTATGTCAATCAAAGCGCACGCTCCATCCAGTTTAAACACGTTTAAACACGAATTTCCTTTCACACACAAAATGTCAAGCTCTCTAGATACGAACTTCGTATCTGCAGCCTGCTTTTAGGGGCGTATGGATCGCGACTTCGTATCTATCCCAACATCGTATAAACGATGTTCACACTGGGAAATTTTGTCTATAAACATGTTTAAAACTGTTGAGTGATTCTAATCATCTCTAGATACGATGAATTTTAGCTGTGTGTGAAAAGGCTGCTAGTTTCCTTGCACACACACAAATCAAGTCACCCAACTTTCTAGGCTGTACCACTAGAATAGTACATTGCTGAAACATACACATTATAGTTGTACTTTCATAATGTAGATTACAGTAATTTACACAACAATGGCAAATTCTTGAAATTTTCTCTGGATGGGAGCAGTGCAGTCAACAGCCATTCTATTGTACAAATTCTAATAATGCACGACCACCAGTATCCTGCGATGCTAGTTTTGATTGTGTTTAGATTTCAACCGCATCAAACACGCACAATTAAAAATACAATTACGACTGAGCAGAGGAGGAGCGCCATTGATGGTGCCTTTCGGTTCCAATACTGTCAGTCCATCCAGCAATTTTAACAAATTAAATTAAATTTGAGAAGCTTGTTGTAAAGCTTCTGCCCGCTTCTGTAACTGTCACTCAATTAATGACAAATAATAGGATTACATTTTATGGAGATGGTGGATTTCATCTGGAGAATTTTAATTGTAAGTGTTTATACCATCATCATGAAAGTGTTCCTCAAAGCACAATAAATTGACAAGAGCGAAGAGGGATTTATCTTTCAAAAGCCCCAAAGAGCTCTGGTAAATCCACCTCAAAAAATTAAAAAACTAATAAATATTAATGAGAGAAGAATCACACTTTTACGATAATATTAAAGGAGTCCCAGTGAATGAAAAATATTTAAAGCTGGTTCCTCTTTTCATAGGTATGATATTTGATACTTTTGTAACGATAGAAATAAAAAGAAATAGAAGTGGTTTAATGGATTTTGAAATTAAAATCTTATTGAAAGGAAGTTTTAAGGGGAATAATTGATTGTTCAAAATGTTTGAAAATGGAACTCCAGAATGCATTTTTTTTTTTAATCAATAATTCATCAAATATTTATACATGTACATCCATCAATTCATTCAATTATCTATAGATCTATTCATTTCAAATAATTATCTATTTAGAACACATACACGTAGTTATATTGATTTTTCCCCTTTTTGAGAGAACTGTACAGACTCCAAGTACAGCACAGTAGGCTTCCATTGATTAATGGATGTGGGGTGCCAAAATTACTGTAGCTTCACATTATTAATATTGCAACAATTACACGCACAATGTATGCATGTTCTCCCATATCCCTTTCATACCCCCCAGTGAGCAATTACTAGCTCAGCATAACAGGTGTTCACAATTTGATGTTTCTATTTATGGGGATATTCCACAGTTTGAGAACATGTTTTTCATTGCTAAAAGGGCAAATTAAAAATATCATAACTTTCTCATGTTTTGTCTGATTTCATTCAAATTTACACCAGTCTACTTCGCTGATTTTTCTTTTTCTTCTGGAGTAGTTTGCT